GAATGGTGGGCTTGGAATCAGGAAGACCTGAGTTCAAATGCTGCCACAAACATGCAATGGCTGTGTGACCCTGGGCAAGTCATTTAACCTCTTTCTGCCTCAGTTTCCTCAGCTGTAAAATGAAGATAATAATAAAGTAAATGTAAAATGGAGATAACAACAGCACCTACATCCCAGGGTTATGAGGATCAAATGAGATATTTGTAAAGTACTTAGTGCAGTTCCTGGCACATAATAGGCATTTAATATATTCTACCTTCCTTGGCTCCAGCCTACCTTCCCAATGTTATTATACATTACTCTTCTATAGGAGTACACGCTGTATGGGATAGTAATATTGTCCTAACTGCTGTTCCTCACACATGTTATTTCATCTCCCATGTCCACATCTTTGCATAAGATGTCCTCTGTGCCTAGAATGAACTCCTTCATCATTGCCTTTTAGAATTCCTAGTTTCCTTCAAGGCTCAACTCAAACACCTCCTTTTCAATGGAGCCCAGTTGCTAGTGCCCTTTGACTCCACCCCTCCCCCAAAGATTGTCTTTGATTAATTTTGCACATACTTGTATATGTAGACACATGCTGTCTAATGCATGCTCCATGAAGGAAAGGACTGTTGCCTTTTTGTGTCTGTATCCCCAGAACTGAACACAGTGCCTGACATGTAATATGTATTTAATAATTGTTTATTGGTTGATTTACTTACATAATGGTTTAGGATTCACAAAGTGCTTTCTTTAAAACCCTGAGATGTAGGTCGTGAAGACAGTATTTATCATCCTCATTTTACAAATGGGGGAGGATGTGTTTGATTTTGAACATGGTATATTTTGATGTACCATGGAAATATCCGGGCAGAGATGGCCTGCTGATGTTTGAAGATGTAGGTCTAAAGTTCAGTGGAGAGGTACAGGGGCAGTTTAAATAGAGAACTGAGAGCCAGCAACGAATACTAGTTGAAGCCTTGGGATGAGAAAGTCAAAGGACATGGTGGAAAGAAAGAGGAATAGAAGGCTGAACTTGGGTAGACAGCTACATTTAATTGTTTCAGTTCCATTTCCAATTTCAGTAGAAAGGAGGAAGAGGAACCAACAAAGGAGAAAGAAAAGTTATAGGAGGAGAATCACGAGAGTACCATGCCGTAGGAGCCAAGGGAGGGGAGAAGAAAAAGGAGAGTGTGGTCAGTGATGTCATATGCTACTCAAATGTCAAAAAGGATGAATGCTGAAAAAAGGCCTTTGGATTTGACGATAAGGACACTATTGATTCAGTAATTGGGTCTCAGGGTGGCTATATTATGGTAGTGGTTTGGAAAATCTCCAAGTACGGAAATGAGCAAGAAAATACATAAAGATACTAATAGTTTTGCAATTTTAGTTGGTTAGAACACCATAGTGCTAAGGAGGCCAAGGTTTGGGGTTGAGCCATATGCAGGCCAGTTAACCTTGCCTTGTTCCATGACTACCAAAGAAACAAGGAAATATGGATGAGGCTGTGCAGATCCACCTCACTACTGGTACATCAGTGGCGTCATCTGTCTTTTGTGTGAAGGACAGTTTATCGTACGAGTGTTCACCACGTGTGTCAGACTGCTGGTGACAGTCAGAGCTGGATGGGGAATCTCAGACATGAGTTGGTTCAACCCCTCATTTTGCAGCTAGGGATGTAAAATGATTTATCTAAGGTCATGGGGTGATTTAGTGGCAATCATAATAGAGCCCAGGCCTTCTGGCTGCAAAACTGGTACTCTTTACCCTTAGGCCTGTGTGGTTGCCACATAGTAAGAAAGTGAATAAGGGTAGGCAGGGCAAATAGGAAAAGTTTTCCTGGGCCCGGTGAGTTTTTAACAGTGTTGGTGGAAGGGAGAATCATTGCTGGTAGGAAGAATGGGTTCTTTGAAGCTCTCCTATTTCAGATACTGTAAGAAAGGTCAGTGTTCATATCTTGAGATCCCATAGGTGTCTGTCCCCAGACAAAAGAGCCTGGTCTCTAATTTTACTTGGTGCCTCAGTCTAAGTGGTATAGAAATGATTGGCATACCTATTGATTTGTTCAGTGCTTAAATTAGATTTTTTTTTGAATAATAATAGCTGACATTTAAATAGCATTTTAAAGTTTGCAAATTGGTATCTACTGTTGTTATATCACCTTCAATTCTGAATACGTAATTTCCATCTCCCCTCACCAGTGGACCATCCTTTGGAAAAAGATTTATTTAAGAGAAAAAAAAAGGCAATTCAGCAAAACTGACTAACACTATCTGGCAGTATATGCAGTATTCTACACCCCAGATATCACCTCTGGAGAAAGGGAGGGAAGTGCAAATAAATTAAATTATATTATAATAATTTATTAATCTGGAGCTTGATAAAGGTTTGCTTTTAATTGAATTAAATAGGATCTTCGATGCAGAATCTATTGTGGGTAAAAAGATGGACTGGGAAACATGTGTGGGAAGGAAGATCTTTTCTTATCCCCAGGAGGCAGAAGTTTAGATTCAATGCCTCTAAGAAATATTTTGCAAGGGACTTGCCTTCCCTTGAGCCTTCTTCTACCTGAGCAACCTTCCAAGCATCTTGGAGAAAATCTTAGGATGAGCAATATACACTGGCAACCAGCAGACCTACAGGGATCTGGCTCAGCTCCAGCTTCAGGCGTTGAGAGTCAAACTTCAGCCTCTTCACGAATCCCAGATGCCAGAAATGTCTCAAGGATATTGACATCCGGCTCCTTCCTTTCTGGGTCTGACACTTGACACGAAGTGGTTTCTGTTTGCTGTGCCACGTCCGGGAGTTAAAACTGAGTGATGCCCAAGTGCCGGTGATGCTGGAGTCGACAGCCTGAGCTGGAGAAGGATCAGACAGATGGGGCTGAAGGTTTGGGGAGACCAATTCAGGTCTGGGTTTGTAATGGTGTCTCCGTGCTGCCAGCATCTATAACTTAGGGAGGTATAAAAGTCATTCTGCTTCAAAGACTTCAAGAAGCTAGTTAACTCCACACATCTGTCAGTCACCCCCATGCTCGTGGGATGAGACTGTGACTGTGACTGTGGATTTAGTAGTTCTCTACAGAGTTACTCCTTGCTGGTTTATTACAGTGAATCACCACATGGCACAGTAGTGGGGTTTACATTATTCTTGAGGTTATTTTGAAGCCTTCATTTGGAATTTATTCCCCAAGAGGAACTAGGGGCATAGGCTCACAGCAGGAGATAGGGCTTAAGGTGAAGAGCCCGGGAGAGATTGAATGAAATTGGTCTTTGGACGAAATATTTTTCTCTCTTTTCATTCTTTTCTCCTCATCCACTTTTTTTTTTGCTAAATTCCCCCCCAACCCAATTCCCCAGTTGCCTGTTACCCCAGTTGTTCTTTTGAATATACAGGCAAATGCTTTGGGCTGGGGGGAGAGATTAGATGGAGGTGGACCTAGGGCTTCAGTTCCGTTTTAGTCTCAAGGCTCTAGAACCACTGTCTTTAGGATATTATGCGCTGGGCCCATCCTGAGACTCTTGAATTTGCTCATTTTCTCAACACTTCTACCTGGGAAGAGCCCGGGCCCTTTGGTGACCCAATCCCATACTCTTGACTATGTTAAAAATGAATCTATCCCAGAGGCTGAGGGGGAGGATGCATTGGCTGGATATTTGGCTCTTTGTTGGATGCTAGTCATGTTAACCCTTATCTGGGCTTGGAACATGGTGGAGCAAGGGTCAGACAAGCCTCAGGATTCAGTCCCATTTTCCCTCTTGTCCTGTGTGGTCTGTGTGTCTACAGTCAGTCTTCCATCTATCTTTTCTTTGGTAGGTGGTGTCTCTGGCAGCTCCACCTGAGGACTCAGGCAGTCGGTTTTTTGGAAGCAGCTCCTGCTAAATTTACCACCCTCTTCCCATCTTTCTCCCAACCCTATTGCCTTGGGAAAATTCTCCTCACATCTTAAGGAGGAGGGGACACCCAGCTGGAAAACTCCCTGAGCTCCCCTTTCCCTGCCCTCCATATGCTTGCCTCTTTCTTGCTCCCTGCCCCGCCCCCTGCCAGGTCCCAGTCTGGCCTTCACCTTGCGCCTTGGGAAGGGGAGAAGGGAAGTAGGGTCTAAGGAGAACAGGAGCTGAGCTCTGAGAGTTCAGCACCACCTCCCCGCCCCCCCCATACCCACCCTCCAAGGAGAGAACCGGACAATGAGAGAGCTGCCTGGCCAATCACCTTTTGGAGAAAGTTTGGTTTCTTATCCTATTTCATTAGGCTGATTGGAGCAGCTTTTACACTCGGGCAGGCTCTGTCCCTAAGGGATCCCGTGTACAATTACACTCGCTGCTGCTGCTGTGAATGCCCTATCTTTCACAGAAATGCCAACCTCCCCCCGCCCCCTCCCCGCTCCTCCTCCTTTTTTATCCAGTTGTTATCGCTTCCCTCTCTCTCTTTCTTTCCCCACTCCCTCCTTCTCTGCCTTTTCCTCTTCTTCTTTTCTCTCTCTCTCTCTGTGCCCTCCTTGCAGCTCCAAGCCGGTTCCCCAACCTGGTCTCCAGAACACAAACAGCTGAGAGTTTGCCTCGCGGCCCTGGGGAAGTGTGTCACCGAGTCCCAGCTAAGGCGAAGACGCAAGCAGACGAGGGAGAACCAGCGGAAGAAAAACAAGCGAGCCAAACGCTCCAGAGGGGAGCCCCAAGAGGGAAGCCCGGGGGGTTGGCAGCCCGGTCTCTCGCCCGCCCCCGGCCACGGGCATCTCTTCGGTGGAGGGGAGCAGGCTTTGGGGGAGGCCTGGCTTGGAGAGAAAGTTGTAGCCCCTCGCGGACAGCTCGCCTGCTGCCTCCACCATCCCGCAGCAGGATAAAGAACTTGCCTAACTCTTTGCAGCATGAGAACGTGTTTCTAACGTGGGGGGAAGTGTATTAGTGGGCAGGCAAGCAAAAGGGTGGGGGCTGTAGGGAGAGAGAGAGGGGGAGAGAGAGAGAGAGAGAGAGAGAGAGAGAGAGAGAGAGAGAGAGAGAGAAGAGAGAGAGAGAGAGAGAGGAGAGAGAGAGAGAGAGAGAGAGAGAGAGAGAGAGGTGTTTCTGAGAGTGGAGAGAGTGGAGGACGAGAACCCAATGCCAGCTGCCAACATTATGGAGAACCTCCAGCTACCCGCCCTGCAGGTGCCGGGGGAGTCCCAGGGAGCCCCCGAGGTCAGTCCAGTCTGGTCCAGTTCATCCACTCCAACGCTTCGTCGGCGGAGATTCAAGATGCGTCGGATGAAGAACGTCCAGGAGCAAAGTTTGGAGGGGGGCCTGGCCCCAGACTTGTCCAGTTCTTTGGCCCCTGGCAAGGAGTTCTTACAGTTGCCGTCCATCGAGATAACACCATCCAGCGATGAGGACACTCCCTGGTCCAACTGCTCGACACCCAGCGCCTCACCCCGGCGCAAACGCTTCCTCCTCCGAAAGTGGCTGCGGGTGAGGGAGCGCAAACAGTGCAGTGAGAGCAGGTATGTCCCACGAGTAACCAGATGTTTCCTTTCGCGATCCCACCCCTTGGAGCCCACCAGGGTCCTGGGGAATCATAGCGGGAACATTCTGCTCACCATTCATCGTATGCTTTCCCAAGTTAACGAACAGACCGAGCAGAGGCTCCCTCTTTTTCCTCTCCATCCATCCCACCATGCACTAGTCTCTTATTTTCTCCTCTAAGGGCAAGGGATGATCCTCCCTGGCAGCTGAATGTTTATGCAAGGTGTCCTGTTGACCCGCTGATTAATATTTGATATGATATAATACAATGTCAATCAACAAACATTTATTAAGTACCTAGCATGTGCCAGCCACTCGGGAAGCAAATACAGAAATGAAGATAGTCCCAGCCCTCAAAGAGTGTATCTTCTATCTGTTAGAGACACATCATGTTTATAGGTACATAGCACAAGATATATGCAAGATAAATTCGCAGCAGGCATCCTAAGTGGGGAGGAGTCAGGAAAGGCTTTTCGGGGGGAGTAGCACTTGATCAGAGCCCTGAAAGGAGGCCCATTCTTAGAGTAGGTGTGTGACACACACAGCCATAGGGTTTAGGGCTGAAGAGACTGGAAATCACTGCCCCAACACCCTCAGCTATAGAGGTGGAAGCTGAGGCCCCAGCACATACTGAAGTGATTTATCCAAAGGCTCACAGCTGGCAAAAGTCATTGGAGACAAAGATCAGGGTCTCTCGATTCTGGGTTTGTTTCCTATCCTAGGAGTCTGCCTATTTCCGTTTGCAATATGTGAGGATAGTGTAGCTGAAGGGCTCCCAAAGACTGAGCCACGGTTAACTAACACTGCATAGGAACCTTTAGACCTTGACATATGCTGGGTACTGCCCCATTCATGAGGATCATTTGGGCCTAGCCCCTTTTTCTCATGTTTAACCATTCCAGTGATGTGTAGGTATTGCATCTGCCTCCTGGGAAAGGTTTTCTGTTTCTGTTTTGTTTTTTACCCCAGTCTAGGGTTGGAGATGAAAGGAGTGTGGGAGGTAGTGAGGTTGCTGCAAAACCAAGGCTGAAGTCAGGGATTCAGGGATTGCTATTTAAGGCTGTGTTCTCATTGGCTAGGGAGAGGGGTATGGTGTCTCATTGGGTAGTGCAATCTCTTCACACTGACCACACAAAGATACTTCTCTTTTCTGGACTTGCGACTCAGGCTGTGCATATATATTTGTATGAGGCAGTTGAGCCTCAGCTTCAGTTTACAGCCCTGCCCCCATCCTCCAGGCCCTCCTTTAATTCAGTTCCCTTTCATTCAGCAAGTATTTATTTGGCACCCCCTGTGTTCCCAACACCTTGTCAGAGACCCCGAAGAAGTAAGAGACCCAGTTTTTGCCCTTCAGGAGAATTCAGTCTAGATGGAGAGACAAAACACATGTGATGTGATTAATGAGTAATTAAGTGCTGAAGTATGTGGCACTGACTGTAATTACCTTAGGAATTCATTGTGGTCTAGAATAGTAGGGGAAGTCTTTATAGTAGGCCTAGAGCTGGTCCCTGAAGGAGGAGTGGGATCTGGATAGATGAAGAGAGAATTCATGGTGGTTTAGGCATAGATAATGGTGTGGAGGTGGGAATAAGAAGGGCATAGTGGTGGAATGTGGAGGAGAGTAGTGGATAGAACACTGATTTGGGGAGTCAGGAAGACCTGAGTTCAAATCTTGTCTCAGCCACTTATTACCTGTGTGACCCTAGGAAAGTCACTTAACCTCTCTATGCCTCTCTTTCCTCACCTGTAAAACGAGGTTATTAGATTTCATGATCTTAAGCTCTATGATCCTAATGGCCCAAAAGGAGCAGAGGATGAGAATTCCAAAGTAACCCTGTGCAGTGGCCAACCTTGGGACAATACCAGCCCAGTAGGAGCTGCTCCTGAGACAGCTGTACCCAGGATTTTCCTATAGACTCTGAGAAAAGCTTTTCTTTCTTTGCTAGGCACACTTCTTGTTGCAAGGGCAAAAAAAGACAGAGAAGAACTAGATATGGCTCTCATGTTTGGAGTTAACCTTGAACTGAAGTAGTTCTTCAAGGTTTGCCCACTCTGTTCTTTTTACAAGAGAAAAACAGTACTTTACATTTCTTAGCACTTTAAGGTTTGCAAAGCACTTTACATCCATTACCCCATTTATGTCTACAAAAAAAAATCCCTTTTGTTACAGGTGTTATTATCTCATTTTACAGACAAGGGTCCTAAAGGTTATATGATTTGCCCATAGTCATTTCAATGGGGTCAGAAATGTGATTTAAACATAGGTTTTTGCCTGTTGAAAGTCCAGTCACCTATCTCTTGGATCTGCATCGTGCTTCCGCTCTCAAATAAAATGATCAGATGAGATAATATGTGCCTGACACATAGTAGTTGCTTAATAAACACTTGTTCTGTCTCCTCCTTCCTCTTCCTTTTCCTTTCTGTGTCTATGAAAATCCATGAGATAAGGCATTTCTAGTGAGATTTCTCCATTTCCACCAGGTAGAATAAAGGAAAAGGACTTGTCAAGTAAGATTGCTATGAAGACTTTAGTATAAATTTCTCGTAGAATTATACTTCTGGGTATACAGAGACAAAATTGAAACATTCTGTGCCCCTGAGGAGTCTGGGTTTGATAAGGGGTACATGTACATATAGACTAAGCACCGGAAGGGACATCAATCCCATCTCTTCTAACCCTTACCCAGATCCTTTATCCCAGATATATTATCTTTTTTTATACCTTTTTTGGGGGGGAAGGGGGAGGCAGTTGGGTTTAAGTGACTTGCCCAGGGTCACACAGCTAGTGAGTATCGTGTGTCTGAGGCCAGATTTGAGCCCAAGTCCTCTTGCCTCAGGGCCGGTGCTCTATCTGCTGCTCCATCTAGCTGCCCCTCCCATATACGTTATCCTTAGAGGATGGTCATCTGCTCTTTGCTTGAAGACCACCAGAAAGAGCAATTCTTTTGGACCCCATCCATCTGCTTCGACCTAGCCCATTCCACTTCAGACAGTTCTAATTGTTAGGAAAATTTTTTTTATGTTGAACCAAAATCTACCCATCTGTGACATTTTCTTAATTCTGACTTCCAGGACTGAGTAGAACAAATGTATCCTTTAACAGAAAAGCCCTTCAGTCATTTGAAGGATACTATTGTATCCTTGTGTGTCTTTTCTTCTCCAGGCTGATCATTTCTAGTTCCCTTTAACAGATTCTCATATGGCCTGGTTTAAGATACTCATACCTTTCTGTGGATATACACTGCGGTTTATTAATGGCCCTCTTACTCCTAAAATGTAACTTCCAGAAATGGATTATAATTCTTGGAATAATTGACTAGGGTAGAGTACAAGATTATCATCTTCCTTGCTCTGAACCCTTTATTTCTGTTTGTATAACTTAAATGAATTGTCCAAGTGAGAGAAGGGAGGGGGGTGTGTGTGTGTGTGTGAGAGAGAGAGAGAGAGAGAGAGAGAGAGAGAGAGAGAGAGAGAGAGAGAGAGAGAGAGAGAGAGAGAGAGAGAGAGAGGGAGAGAGAGAGGGGGAGAGAGAGGGAGAGAGGGAGAGAAAGGGATGTCTTTAAAACTGGAAGGATTTTTATCTTCCTAAAATGTTTTCAGGGTAGTCCTATTTAGAGACATTGAATGATTTTTAGCATGTTCTAACTTCAAATTATGAAAATCTGAAAAGCAGCTAGTATTTTATCTTTGACACTTGAGTTCGAAGTTAAACTCAGCATCCCATTTTCTTTAAGTCTTGGGCCAAGAAATGTTATACAAGTGCCAGGCAAACAACTGGATGGCTAGGATGGGAGCACAGTGGATAGGGCACCAGGCCTGGAGTCAGGAAGACCTGAATTCAAATTCGGAGTCAGATACCATACTAGCTGTGTGATCCTGGGCAAGTCACTTAACTTCTGTTTACCTCAGTTTGCCCCTCTATAAAATGGGGATAATAATATTTACCTCCCAGGGTTGTAAGGATCAAATGAGATAATAACTGTAAAGCACTGAGCATAGTGCCTAGGACATAGTAAGTGCTGGATAAATGTTAGCTATTATTCTTATTCTTATTATTCTTAGAATGTTTTGGCCATCTTCAACATCAGTTAATCAGCAAGCAGACATTCTGCCAGGCCCTATGCTATTTGTTGGGTTCAAGGACAAAAATGAAATAGTCTCTGCTATCAAGCGACCCCCCTCCCTCCATACATACATACACACATATAAAATCATGTCTAACCTATATGCACACACACATATATAAAATGTATAGCCTATACATATACATATAAAATATAACCCATGCATATACAAATATACAAATATGTACATATAACAACAAATACGAAGTTATTTTGGGGGAAGAGCACCAGTAGCTAGGAAGATCAGGAAAGGCTTTTCATGTAGGAGTTGACATTTGAGCTGAGTTTTAAAGGAAACAAGAGACACTAAGGGGGTAGGGGTGAGGAGGAAGGGCATTCCAATGGAAAGGCTTGGAGATGGAAGATTGAATGCCATGAGTGAGCAAAAAAAGGCCAGTTTGGCTGTACCAGAGAAGTCAGGATGGGAAATAATGTAAAGCCCCAAAAGGGGCTTTGAATGTCAAACATATTTCCTACTTAGGTAGATTTCTCATGGCCCATTGTGTGTTTCTGTGCATGAGGCTCATATGTCCTTCAGCTATACCTAGAATTCTTTGTTCCTCATTACCCTGCTTGGATTTCACTACGCTTTCTGAATTCTGATCAGAAAATAGCTTGGATTAGTTAGGATTAACATACCAGTCACAGCATGGCATCTTCCTTCTTCCCATGCCCTCTGTACCACATCTGCCTCTCTAAAGTATATAAAAATGCCACTCAGGGTTTGCCATAGCATTCCACCTGGTGTGACTGGGGAAAGAAGGTGGGGCCAAGGAGAGCTTCTACTTTGCACACTGATTTTACCTGTATTGGGTTGAAGAATAGGAAAATCAACAGGGTCCTTTTATTTAGCC